TGTATAACAGATCAGAGTGATGACTCTGTTACGGTTGTGAAAGGAAGTCGCAAAGGATGTCTTGTCTCCGCCATAGGGTCATTTGAAGCATTTCATGGGTCCCCACACCCTCATTCTTTTGCTATATCCAATGGTACACCTTCTTTATATTTGCGATCGACCTTCATTTAGTTAAACATACTTTGCTATCTAAATCTTGATACGTGCACGATTATCATAAATATACTTACATTTTTTTTTGTCACATGCAATCGTGCAGGTCGAATTTACTTTATGGCAATAAACATTTTTTCATGCCATAAATGATTTTTTTCGGACTAATCTTACTTCATGCATTTTTTATTTTATTTTATTTACAAAACGAAGTGACATGTTTTATAATGAAAATAGACCTAGGAATAGACTTAACCTAACCTCTAGATAAAGATGCAATAATAGAAAACTTACCCGTACAAAGACGCAGACAAGATGGACAATGTAAAATAAGTTACACGTTATATATAGGATCTAGTCATAATTGTCTTAATCATATGCCGAATGTAATAAGATGGAGAAAACTATTATGATACACCAAGGAAAATCCATTATATAGACATGTCATTTGCTAACTAATTCATAATGGCCCTTTTGCTACCATAGATAGCAATCAAATTGAGATATATTATGGAAAATAGACAAAATATTGAAGTCCAAACCTGCAAAAGTCTTCACTTTCAAAAAGCATGGAAAAGTGGGTCAAGATTTGTATACTAGTTTAAACTTTTCATTAAATAACCAAAATACTTGTTGGCTGGTCAATGGGCTACCTAATAAAGAAAAAAAAAGTAAAAAATAAATAAAAAATAAAAGAATCGTATCAAGCAATATGACATCAAACCAAACCCACAAGTCTCTTATTTTGCCTACACAAAATACCAACCCTCATGAACCATGTGCTTGTTTCCCTATTTCCATAACAAATTGCTTCAAAAGTCAATTAATCCAACTTTAAAGAAATCATTGAAAATATGATTGTTAACCACCAAAATGTTAGTAAGAGATTTTCAACTTGTCTAGACAAGACAGCCTCGACCAATGCTATCTTCGTGGTCTTATTTTTTTAGGTAAGCTCCAAAAATCATAGACTTCCATTCCATTTTGTCCCCAAATGTCAACAAATTGAGGTCAGCATTGGGACTTAAATTTACTAACATTTATATGGTAATCGTTAATAGTAGTTTGCTACTACATTTTCTTGCTCCTGTGATCATAATCTTGTACTATGAACAAGCTTGGGCCAAAATGTAAAAATGAGGATATGTGAAAAAGTTATTTCTAAGGAAAACATTTTGTAGTCGCAATAAAAATAGAAGACAAGGCGCAATTCGGCCGTAATAGTGTTATAACCATGCATACATCATACACATGTAAATTTGCATTGTATGGTAAACATCATTGTACTCTGGAACGACAAATAATTAGATCATAACATGCAAAAAGCATATCTAAGTTTGGTAAACATCGATGAATATAGATGGACAAAAATCAATGTATCATTTTGATAAATCATTTTCGCCAGCTCAACCAAAGAGAAAATCCAATAGCTATTTTATTTAAAATGACTTTTTTGGATAACAACAATTTTGATGGCAATGCATGCAGTCGATAAAATCTTTTTTATTCTAAAATTATCGATTCAGTATCTTTTATTCTCTTATCTTTCTTAACAAAAATGCAATTCGTTTTCTTTAATAATTATTGACTTTAGAAGATAATTTCGTAGAAAAGAAGTTTTTGGTATCGCAAATAGCTTGATGGCATAAGACTTGACAATTAACCCATATTGGTGTCTTTTACATATTCTTTTCACACTTGTTTGAGATACACAAACTTCAACTTTGTGTAGCGGCTAAAAGAGTTTTGGAATGTCATCAATATCTTGTATACTACACGAACTTCAGCTTTCGATAATGCAGAAAAATATTGATGATCATAGAAAAAAAAAGTCATAAAATGATCGGTGTGCTTTCTTATGAAGCTACTAGAGATATTTTTAACATTTTCCATATCCACTAACACTTTAGGTGTCATTGAAACGAAGGTCGCATGTAGAGGCAACCATAGATGTATTCCCACTTGCAGTGGCCGATTCAGGAAAATATTCGGGACAGGCTGACACAACAAAGGAAAAAAAATCACACATGAATTTTTTATTTTTACTTAAAATCTTTCTTTTTAATTAGCATTTGGGTTGGAGGGACGGGCTCTAGCATAGCCCAGCCTGTCCCTAGATCCGTCCCTGCCCACTTGACACGTCTTTACTCCCCAAACCAAAGACGCAACCATAGAGGCCTTAAGACTCACAAGCATGTTTATTACAGATGTTTACTTTGTCTAATAATATCACTGTAGAAGTATCGAGATTAAAGACATTTTTGACAGTGATACCTACGGAACCCCCGTTTCCTATGTCTTGTGGACCTATAGCATAAATCGTCTACTAAGATCCTAGAAACACCTGATGATACACAAAACCTAGATAGATACCAAGATACACTACAAAGCTACTTAACTCATTAAACCCTCAATAATCATTTTTACAGTGAACCACCCAAATACACCTTGCTCTTGGCATGACCATAATCTTTGTCCACTGATTATTATCCTTCTCCTTCGGTCCAAACCTTTCCTGACCATATCTGACTTACAAATGAGATGAAAAAGAAGGAAATATTAGAAGTCATGAAACTTATAAGCTTGCTACTTCTATAATAGGTATAGAGAATTTAATGTGTACCCTTAGTTTCTCCTCATGCTAGTTATAAAGTAACAAGAGTCATCGCTTGTTGGGAAAGAAATTGAGCCTTAATTGCAATTTTTTACAGAAATTTGGGAAATTAATTTTAATTTATGAAAATCCATGTCCTAGCTTCCTCCATGCTATTCGTTTAAGTCCGAGAATTCTATTTTGTGCTTTAGAGACACAAGAAATTTAAATTTTAAAGCTGTATAGACGTTAATAAAAGATAATCAACTCATACTAGATTGACTTTATCGATCTCGGTGAGACAAAACCCGGAGCAAAACCAACTGACTTGCCAATTTACTCAAACTCAATCCGAAACCCAAGCAGTAGATTGTACTCATTTCATCAAACAATGAACGATTTCGAATCACTAAAGAAGTTAGAGCATCTCCAAGAGGCTCTTCAAACATGAAATATTCTCTATTTTAAAAAATCGACTCTTAAAATCATATCCCAAGAGACTATTTAAATTAATTTAAAGAGTGAGTTTTAAAGCGTCAAACCTACTCTCTATATTTAAATGCAATAAAAGTGTTTCAATTTTCAATGTACGAAAATAATAAAATAATTTAGAAAAAAGATAGCTAAAATAAAAGATATAGAAAAATAATAAATATTTTTTGGAAGTAGTAATACAAGTGTTAAATGTAAAGAGTTTATTGGAGTACTTTAAAATTTTAACTCTCCAAATTTATATATACTCTCCAAATGATATAATATAATGTTTAAAGATGCTCTTATCAAGACCAAAACACTACTCAAAACTAGGCAAGCACCAAGTGACAGAAGCCCTTTCCAGATTAGGTTTGCAAGAAATGGTCTAAGTTCTCCATGAGGAATGGATAAGCATACGAGGAATAACAACAGTAACGTGAGAAAAACTTCCATGGCTCCGATGCAGTAGATACGCATATCAATACTCTGGTTACGCACAGAATAACAATGTATTTCTTAGCATATAACTGCATTGGAAGAATACTCAAATCTGAAGGTAGGAAAATAATGAGTATATGAGCTCACAGACGACAGGATCTCAAGAAAGTGAAAGATACCACGCAAAACTAAATAATGGCTTATAGTTTTGAACATAACAAATATCTTCTAGCCGCTCACTATCTCAAAATGCATCTTACAAGAAATTTTAATGATATAAGGATGCTCACACTTCCATGCTAAAAAATCAAGTCTCTAGCTTGACTATCATACAAGATATACTACTTCATCCATATTATTTCCAAAATAAAATCATAAAAAAGAACTGATAGAACCTCAGCCAACAAATTCATAAGCATCGTTAGACCTTTATTTCCATCTTAAGGACTGCCTTATTCCAGAATAGATGAGTCCCAAGGACCGTCCTATTAAGCAAACTAGGAAGAAAGAGATAGCATCACTGACTTTAGCGATAACCGTCCTTATAATTGGCATTGTGATATCAGTCAGTTCAAGAAATAGGCTGAAGTAGTACCTCCTGCAACACAAGAAGTTGGAATTAAGTTGACAAACACCACAACTTGGGATTCACACCACCATTAGAGAGTGTGCAGACTGTAATTTAAAATTTTATATAAAAAACACATCATTTTCAGATTTTACACAATAACAGTATGAACTTAGAGAATGCAGAAGCAGAAACAAGAAAACTCTACCAGAAGTGTTGTAATCTCAGACCACAGAAACAGTCAGCCAACAGAACCCTAGGATAAATCTTGATTTTCATATTCCATCAATTGATTGTACGGGACGCTCCATTTGGGATGGTTTTGGCTTAACAAATGGGTACAGACTACAAAGGCAGGTTGCAGGTTCAAAAGCAGCAGGCCAAAGTCCAGGCTGCAAGGTTTTTGGTCAACCAGCATCTGACCCAGTGAATTATATTTTATATCATTAAAATTTCCCTCGCCCTTGCATATACATGTGATCATATAATTTATTAGTTAAGATGACTTGGTTTTAACTTGGATTAGATTTTTAGGAAGAGTGGTTATATAGTCATCACAGCTTTTTATTATTGCACCAATATTTAATTGCATCAAAGGTCTCCAATCTTTGCTCATTATCATATTTGTATCTCAAAAATTTCATCAAATACTTCGCAAACTTATATCTAATGACGGTTTTTGTTCCAGATTTCCTTAGGAGGGCATAAAAAGACTTATCTTGCCTCTCATATTTGTAAATAAGAAGGGGGGGAAAACACAAAAGTGCAACAGGAAATTTGTACCTCATTTCAAAGCACGCTGACACAATGTTTGGACATAAACCGTAGTCAGAGACTACATGTGATAATTATTGCAAGATTCAGGATAAGAAAGCACCAAAACAAAAGGTGAGGACAGTGCAACAATAAGCAAAGAATGAAGGCCTTTAAAGAAATTAAAAAGTGGTGCAAAAAAAAATGTGGTGTCACTCTTTCAGGAAATGAGAAGACTTCGAACATTTTTCTTCTTTTTACCTTTGGAAGTGTTCTTACACAAATTCATAATTGACTAATGAGATAAACGAAAAAAAGTAAAATGGGATTGGAAACTAATTGAAGTAATTTTCTAAAGGGTAGTTATAAAGCAAAACAGTACCTGACCGCATCTTGTACTAGCAAGAAAGAAGAGAAACTATATGTGTTATGTTGTGTATTATTAATTAGTACCGTCTTATATACATGACTATTAGAACTACGCATATGAAATATTATACAACAAAGAAAGGAATCTACAAATATTACATAATCTATGATTATGGAAGAATATCAAGGTTATATAGAAACTGGTGACACTCCAAAAATTAATTATAATATATCAGAATATCATAATTGATTCTACCACATATGAAGAATGTGATATTGATGCACCTGTAATCTTTGCCCGTCCATTTCTTCTTGGCAATAGTAAGATCAGTGGAATACAAAGGAAAGAAGTAATGTACTACACATTATGAACCTCATATTTACCCTAGAGCCAATTATAAAATTTTACGATGGAAGCTTTGCTCATCGATACCAGTTTTTATCTTTCATTTTGATGCTGAAACCAAAAACATACTACTGCAAAATATAGACTTGTCTTCCGATGTTTTACAAAATTTTCTGGAGTTAGCAGGAAAGACCTAACTCATTCCTATCCTAGACACGAAGGCATGTTCAACTGCAAAATATGGAAAAAAAAAAAATAAAAAAAATAACACCCTAGTCTCTGTAATGGCAATGGATAACTAGAAAATTAAATTTAAAATGAAATGGTATCTTATGAAGAAAGAGCAGTAACAAGCTAATATTACATGATAACCAGAGATCCATTCTCATTCCATAATATGAATGCAATTCAGGAGTATAACATACCACCCAGTCAAGTCCCGTAATTCCATGGTCCGTTTAACAGGTAATGAAATATGGCTGATCACAGCAAAACGCAATGAAGATGATACAGATCCAGATCTCCTCAAACAAAGCTGTTTCCACCAATTAGCATTTTCATCCGCGGTCCTACTGGATTTCTCAATGGGTTGGATGTGAAGGGTGCGAAGGTCAAAGTGGTCTTCGTACATAGATACAACTGCCTCCATATTCTGATGCAACCATTGGTGTAATGCCACCTGTAACCAAAAAAAAAAGAAAAAGAAACCCCTTTTCATGATGCTTAAAATTATCAGCATGTCCATAGTAATACTGAGGTTAATATTCATTATATTACCCACTCTGCATATTTCAACTAAATCCAAATCCCAGTCCGGATTTGAGGTCGCTTACCACACCAACTTTCAAAATTTATTAAATTTGTCATTCTGTTATGTTCTTTCTAATCCTTCTCTCTTTCCTAGACATGCAGTTAATATGATCCCTCGTACAGTCTTATTATGTTACATCAACCTTTGTAAAGAAAATTCTTCAAGCACGAGCCAATATTACCACTTCTTGAATTTATTTAATATGTTTGTTTTGGGAGATACTAAACTATTCAAAATTATGTTAAAACAAAATTCATTCTGTACTGTTTTATGGCTACGTAAGGTCTTGCATTTATCCTATCACAGACCTCCACATCCCTGTGTTTCTCATATTTGACCACTGAGTGGGTCGAGGTAATTCCAATAAAAAAGTTCAGATAGTTTTATTTTTGGAAAAATACTTCTTGTTTAGGTACTTTTGGATATTCATAATAGTAATATTCAACTGCCAGATTTAATTTGGGAGGTAGACAGCTCCAGGATTAACCTGTTAAGTTTGGTACTGAAAAGAACTATGCATCAAACTGGGAAAAACTTCTATCTTTATATGCAAAACAGAAACTTCCAATTTTGATCTAGATCTGTTGAACAATTACTCACGACAATAGAATATCACTTTCATTTGCTGCACGAGGTTTCAAAGAAAAGCAACCATCTTGTCTACATTTTGGTCACCTGCCTCAGAGGATGTGCAAGAAAAATAGGTCGGGTTTGTACCTACTTTAAAACCAATCGAATTTCAAATAATAAACTTTTATTCCACCTTATGCATGAAACTCATAATGTCAGACTACTCCATGTCCATAAACCAAGGTATTGAGATCCACCTCGAGCGATTGTTCTGCCCATAGTACGTGGTTGATAATTACTCAATCAAATTGCACTCTCTTGTTAAAACAAGGTGAACATGCAGCATTTTACTCCCAAATAAAAAATAATAATATTAACGAGTGTGTTCACACCCCCATCTGCGATGGTATTTAAGAATGCAGTAATTCCAAGATGGACCAACTTTTGCCTCAGTCATCAGCAACAAAAAGATAAATTAACCTAAGATAGCATCATTGTACACCAACTATTTTTGGGCGAACAATGAAACCTGTTTTGCGATTTCACTGACTATAATCCATAGCAGACTACACAGTGAGGTCATTGTTTTTAAACTACCTATCCAGATCTTATGATCCAATGATTCTTGATAATACAATCCAATCCTGTTGTAGGATCTTAAAATGGTAGAATCTTAAAATTCTGTTACTGGATTTTAACAATCCTACCTGTTCTAATGATCCTTCAAATCCTCTATTTTTTAATCATTATAAGAATTTTTGCATTATTCTTTAATGGATTAAGTAGTCTGGTTATTGGATACTTAGATTGAGCTTCATTTTGAACTAAAGAACAAATCAAAACATTAGTGAAAACAAAGTAAACCAAAATGGCAACAATTAGAATCCCTATTACGAAATCTGGTATCTTTCAGTCTATCATCTATGGGAATATCATGTATTCAGTGTTTTTTTTTTTTTCTAGCTTGCTGAAAATTAGTTGTAGAAATAGGCTTGGTTTCTGAGCTCATAATGTTACGACTTTTCATTTATTTATGGTTGTGAATAATTTGTGCAAATATTCATGATGATTGGTGTCTAAATTTGTCATAAAAATTGCGGTTGAAGTTTTTGATTCTGATAATAAACTAACTGGAAGTATAGTTTTGAATTTGATTTCTGGTTCAACACTTAATAATCCATATCTTAATATATTAAAATAATTATTTTTTAAAAATATTTGATATTTTATCTGTCTTAATATTTTGAATAATTTAAATTTAATAGAGTCTTGCAATCCTCAATTCCATCCAATGGTCCTGATCCCTGAGACCTATATGATCCAAAATTATGATACTGACAACCTTGGCTAAGATTCTCTTTTAGTAGGAGTTCAAGTCAAACATAATTTGAGACATCACAATTTTGCTGCCACATAAAATACATCTTTAATAACTAAGAAATATTATTTATTTAGTCGTCCATCTTTTCATTCATATTGGATAAAACTGAAACTCGAATTACCAATAAAATCCTGCACTAGTCAAAAACAAGGTCAGTATTTGCAGAGTTAATGTAGTAATTTCACAGTGTAGCAATACAAGAAATATAGTTGCATGTATAATTGCAAATATATTTTCCTTTAAATTTCTCACTGATGGAAGAGTCACCAACTCACCAGTTACCACTGAAAGGAGTAAAATAACTAATATAACTTGACGAAAAATGAGAATGAAGCATTCACAAGCCTCTTCTTGGAAATTAAGTCGCAAATAAAACAGCTGTTGATCTTCAAAAATAAAGTGCAACATTTGAATTTTGATGTTTAGCGTTAAATGTCGGTCCTTTATCAGGATGAAAATAATTCTAGCATCATATTCAGAGCAAATAAAGATTTGGACAGAGATATAAGAAACAGCATGCACAAACAAGACAACTAAAACAGTAGCTTGTACACATTTGCTTGTGCAAGTATTTCACTTAAATTCTTAGAAGCAAGAACATGCTGCTCAGTAAAAACTGAACCTCATAGCCAGAAAAGAAATGAGAAAAGCAAAATTTATACCTCATTTCGCAATCTTTGAAGTGCTCTGGTGGACAATCTGCACAAACTCAAACCAAGGCTGTTCATTTCATTTGAAAGGCTACTGTCAACAGATATAAGTTCCAAATACATGCTTGCAATACCATCTGCTAACGTAATCACCAAATCTTCTAAAATGGCTACTCCATGCTGGGTAAACAGGGTACGATTGTAGTACGCATTTGGGCTGTTAAGACACACACTGCAGTAAGTTAAGGATCTTACTGGATCATAGTCCAATGTTTAGCATGTTTAAATTTACTTTATTGCTACGCATTCAGCAGAATTGAGTTTATCAGATCCAGCATACAGCCCAGTATAAATCCTTCTACTTTGTACGAATTTAATTCAAAGCTTTTTTACCCCAAGAAATAGTTGTAATGTATAAGTAATGCACACGATTAAAGTTTAACATCCAATCAAAAAACATCATGAACAAAAAAAATATATATATAATAATAATAATGATCTCCCATAGAGTAGATAGAAATGGACTCGTAAAGCAGAAGTATCTCAGTCCATATTACTGGAGATACATGGAAAATTCAATGAAATAAAGCTTCAGGAAATCATACAGCCTTTAAGATAATTTTCGCACGTGGTACTGGAATATTCATAATGTATGTAATCGACATTGCAGCGCAGCAATCCTACTTCTGCTTGTGTACTTTTAAATATCTCCATTGCACCTTTATCTTGACACATGTCATTTACTATTTATCCATTTGAAGAAATGTAATATGAATGTTTAAATGATGGAAGGATGAAGAAAAATTAACACGTCTTAAAGCCTTCGAGCGAAAATATAAATGATGCATATATGAATGGTAAACCATATTAAGTCCCTGTTTGTCTATCATTACTTCAAAATTCTTTTTTCTCAAACCCATTTTCAACCATACGTTCGTTCTCCCAATAAAATATTTTGCACGTAAACCACTTTTTTCTTTTTCTTTTTTTACTTTTTAACTACACATTTTCTAAATTCACTATTCCAAAACTCATTTTCACTGAATAATGTTAGACAAACAGAGGCTAAGGAAAAGAAAAGAAAAACATCTTGAAGCGTGCATGCACTAATCCAAAATAAAAATTTCCAAGAGGAGCAAAATAGCTCCTTTACCTGACAGAACCGAATCTAAGAGCAAATATCAATTCTGCATATAGATCCTCCTTGCCTGATTTTCTTATATTTCGCAAAATAATGTCACGTCCATTTAACTTATTGACCACAGAAGAAAGAAGTGCCTAATAGACAGGAGAAAAGCGATTATGATAGAAACGGCTAAATCTTTTCTTCTATTCAATGAACTAGTAGCAGAAGTAATGTTACTATTTGTCATATAGTCCATATACCATGTCAGGTTTGCCAGTAACAAGGCAAAGCTCCTCTTCCATCCATGCAATGCATAGCGGCTGACAGCATTTCCGAAAAATTTCATTAACGACCGCCAAGAAATCATTCGAGTGCATTGTATTATAGTTGCCAGATATATTTACCACCTGTAGAATAGTTTGTGAATCCACTTTAAGGAATTGGGTGAAGAACAATTCAACAGCATAAGAAACACATAAATGTGGGTAAGTTCACACATAGTCTATGTCATTTCTTTCATCCATATCAAATAGAGGGGGAAAAAAATTCACGTAATCCCTCCCTTAACCTTTTCCCGTGTCACAAACAGTCTTTAGCATCCAGATCATTACTGCTAGACAAATTCTGTTTTGTACAGAATATAACAAGTAAAAATAAAACATGATCAAATCGAACATGTTCATAGTGACATTGGATGAATTACCATGAACTAACAACTAATTTAAACAGAAATTACCTGGCTATTACTAGTCCACAAGTACATATACCACCTTCCTAGGGGAATACAAGGAGTGCTAAATTAAATGTCAGCAGTTTAAGTCCATGTTTGGCTAATGTTATAAACTTTTTATAATTTGTCAAACGACTTTTTATCCACCATCGCTCATTCAATTTATTATTTAAACCGATTATAAACAACTCCCAAACATGAAGTAATTTGAAGCTTGTGTTTTTCAAATATAACCATCCAGTATCCCAACAGACACCTTTTGAATGTCTTCCTTTTCTCTCGACATTAATTTGTAGAGAAGTGGTTAGACTCAATTCCTTCAGAATTGGTCATGAATTTGAATCAATAAAAATTATAGGGAAAAAAAAATGCTTTCCACTCCCTAACAATACAAAGGGTAATGAACATAAATTTCAAAGAAACAAGAAAGACAGTGCCTGCCTCGTCCTTGAGCCACTGAAACGAAGCCCACAGCAACCTCATCCTGGGACCCTCAGTGACAGCACACAAACTTGAAGGCTTTTTCATATGACCTTCTTCAAGTTCAGCAACCCTATCGCCTACATTTACCTCATTTTGTATAAAACATAGGGAATCCATGATCTTGCCTTTCACAATATCCCAGGCAAACTCCAAATATACCTCCTTATCATTCGCTGTGGCGCTGCAATTAAAGGAATAATATCTCATACTCCTAAAAAATAAAATCATAAAGGTTTTGATATGAGAGATCAGATATATCATAATGTACACTTGATATTTTTCAAACAAAAACAAGCTTTTAACCTGGTCCTTTCTTACCTACCAGAAAAGGAAGAGTTTTCAGGAACCTCATTATCTTCTGAGATTCTTGTTTGAGTACTATAAGGGAACTTCTCAGCAGGTATTACACCAGCCATATATGTCAGGGTTATGCTCACTAAAAGAAAGACTTGGTCCATTACAGGAATCCAGTCAGAAGTAACTGGAACAGCAGCATTCACCAGGGCACTCATGCACCGACACCTCATAAAAGTCTTCTGTTGGGGCATTACATTTGGTATTCTCAAGTGAGAAGCTATGAGCTTGCAAGCATGCTGTGCCGAAAACTGGTAAACTTTGCAATTTTTGACGTAGCGCTTACTGAAAGGGGAAAAATGACACTGATAAAATTTATCTAGAAATAGTACGATGCCTATTTCTAGAGAATCACTAGCCAACCACAATGTTTATGACACAATTCAAAGGCTCAATATATAAATCTCATTAAATACTAAGGTAGTGGAATAATAAAAATTGAGTTCACTATAATGATTAAACAGGTTCTATAGAAAAACGACCCATGTCTTATTATAATCATGGGTATTGGAGTGAGAAAATGAAATGAAACCTTGGTGAGGAGACATGAAAAGTTTTAGGCACAAAGGATCGTCCATCCAGAATGTTTCCACGAGAATGCAGCTTGACAGGGGACAATAAAGCCAGATACTCGGCCATTGTCAATATTTCTTAATCATGTAAGCTCAGTCTACGGCTTACATACATCTTGTAAATTGCTAAAGCCTCAGTTCCCAAATCATCACCTGTAAAATCACTACTAAGCACTTGAATCTGAAATTTAAAAAGGAAAAAATAATCTAAACCAAACAGTGCTAATCACGAGGTAACTGATCCAATTTATAACAAATAGTCCCAACACTTTTCTCTCCTTTTAAATCCAGAGATAGAATGTTACATCATTATGAAACAACAAGATACTTCCAATAATTCCAATAATGTTAGTTTGGAAATTTCTACTGGTACAATGAAGAAAATTCAAAAAAGAATAACTGGATATAGCTGGTGAATGAGCTTACCAAGAAATGAAACCCTAGAAGAGATGCAGTGGAGGTAGATGATATCAGATGAAATTTAGAGTTCCATTAATGACAAAAATAGTTATGATACATTGCAAAGCTATGGTGAGAATGAGGATTGGATGTGTGCGAACCTGATTCTTCAAATGGATTGGTAGTCGCTTTCTAACTTCTCTCTCGGGTGAATAGGTTAAAAAGAACCAAAGATAGGAGGGAAGGGCAACAAATTGAATGAGTTTCAATGGAAATAAACCCATATTTATCATGTTTAGGGATGCAAATTGGGCCCACTGGGCCCTTCCTCGTGGGTTCGACTGGAAATTTTGTTGGCACGCATTTGACTCAAGTACATTTTTTTCTATTTTGTATTTTTTTGAATCACATATTTTTTAACAAATAATATTTTACATAAATTTAAATTTTTTTCTTCTTTGTCAAACTCACAGTCTTCGAAAAATACTATTCTAAAATATATTTTTCCTCAATATTTTAATGAAACCCTAACAAGGGCCGAATATCCACATTTCCCATTTTGTTTTTCTAATTTGCATTCGAGTGGTTACGTTTTGACATCTCTAGAAGGTGTTTAGTATGGATTAAAATTAAATTTTTTTAGTAAATTGTGATAGAAATTTTTGAAATGTGTGATTGAAAAGTTATGAGATCCATGAAAAATGTTGTTAATATTGATTGTTTGACTTGGACTTAGATTAAAATCAAATTTTAATCTGAACCAAACAAGCCACTAATCTTGTTTGTACTTTTAGAATTAATATTATATGATCAATAATTTATACAGGAGAAGTTGAAATTGAAGAAATAATTGAGAATAAATAATGAACTGTATAATAGTTTCAAATTTATATATGGTTAAAAAGATGAAATCGGTATATAAATGTAAATGAAATTATATAACTCCATAAAATAACTTAGTATTAATATAAAGACGTGAAAACATCGCAATGTACTAAATTAAGAGGACTATCACATGATATCTAGGATGCTCTACAAAATGTAACTGTTGACACATAAAAATTCAGCCTAAATCGAACGGCCGAAGGAATGAAACTCAATTGGAGGATCCTCAAATCAGATAGTCCAAAGAACGAAGCCCAATCAGACAATTCAGGATGAAGGCCCATGAACGCGGTAACACCATCGCCCAAACTTGCAAGTCGCCCAGGATCTGAGCGAATGGAGTGTCATGCAGTCGCCCAGAGTTGCTACTATATTCTCGCCCAAACCTTCGAGTCGCCGAAGGTCTTAGCAAACATGAAGTGTTATGGTTATCAAGAAGCGCAGTTATCAAAGCAGTTATTAAGCAGCCCTATCACGTTCCACGATTCAAGAAATTCAATTGAAGACGGTTGAACGACAAAGAGTAATGGCAGCAGTTAGAAAATGCAGTTCCATGACAAGTTGGCCATTACGAGGAAAGTGGGCAGTTATAGAACGATCAAACAATTTTTAGGCGGTTGATGACAAAGAGATCATCCAAGGAGTATAAAAGGAAGAAAAGACATAGAGCAAAAGGACCCCGAATAAAAAACTCTCGAATAGAGAACATGTAACTTTAAATTTTTTAGTTTAGATTTAAACACTTCTTTCAGTAACTCGTGTGATTGCGCCCCTTGGAGGCATTCTGTTTTTACTTTCCGATTGTAACGTCATCGCCAATAAAGAACGCCCCTTTTTGGGACTTTGTCTCAAGAGGTTTGTCCCTTACACAATCGTCTGATCCCTTTTTAATTGTTAGCGACGAACCCGCGCGAAACAATTTGGCACGCCCAGTGGGACCGTGGTGTTTGGTGTTGAAAATACAAAAGGTGAAACAATATGCCTCAGAGATCCGATAAGAAAGCAGCAAGTTAGGGAGGAGTCCAGTCTGTGATCGAACAATATGAGGAGCAGCATGCCTCTCCACGAACAAATGGACAGAATCAGAGCAGTAACAGTCGTTACGAACCAATGACAGAGTTGAGTCCTCGAACTATGCGTGCACTACTTGGAGAACTCACACAAGATGTCGTTGAACAGGTAAATCTTCGAAATATTCATAATATGGATAGATTTACCCAAAATGGGAATGCACATTATGACAACATGGCCAAACAACTAAACACTTTGAACGAAATAATAAATAAGTTAGTAGGCCAAATATGTCAACCGGTTCTGCCTCTTGCAAACCACTTTCAAATTAGGACAATTGTGGGACATAATCCCTTAGTCCTAAATTCGAATCAAGGGATAGAACCACTTTTTGGTCCCTCTACTTCAAACCAAGGGGGTGGTGCAGTGCCAAATCAGAACAATGGTAGTGGTATGCCTAACTTGGGGGGTAATCCAAATGTAAGAGATAATGTCCTAGACAATGGACAGAATACCCCACGTGTTAATGGGGGAATAGATGTTCAGGCTAATGGTAACGGCCCAAATCATGGTAACTTTGTTGCCAATCAAGGACCAAATATCAGGCCTCATGCAAATCAACCGGTTAACCAACCTGTAGGAATTCCATATGACCCCAACGTCATGTTGAGGAATCAGATTATGGAAATCGTACCGGATCAGATGGCTTTTGGGGTGCGTCCTGTCATTAGGCCGATTTACACAAAGTCATATCCTGATTGGGTAGACCAAACATATCCATGGCCTAGAGGGTATAAAGTGCCAGAATTCTCACTGTTTACCGATTTGGGGGAGGTGTCTACTCTAGAACACATAGGGCGATTCACATTGCAAAGTGATGATATAACTGATTACCATAAAATGAGGCTTTTCCCTAATTCATTAATAGGAGTAGCTTTCTCCTGGTTCATCAACTTGCCAGCGAACTCTGTTCAAACATGGCAACAATTGGAACAATTATTCTACGCTCAATTTTATAAAACTGAGTCTGAAGTTACTTTAGCTGATTTGGCGAATCTACGTCAAATGCCAAACGAATGGGCAGAAAGTTTTCTCCAAAGGTTCAAGACAGCAAGAAGCAAGTGTTTTGTACCTCTGCCCGAAAAAAAATTTGTCAAAATCGCTCGGGGTTGTTTGAGCTTTGATTTAAAAAAGAAATTCCAAGACAAAGAATTTCCTAACCTTTTTCAATTAAGTGCAAACGTGATTAGGTATGAACGATTGATAAAAGAAAAAGAGCAGATGAAAAATTCTAGCGAGGGGACTTATTATAGAGACCCAAATTTTGATGTTCATACCATCAATGACGAGTCATACGATCAGATCGAAATGTGTTTGGCCGAATTAGTCAAAGGAGACACGTATACTTGTCCCATAATGGCTAAGCCTAGACCATCGGGCAAAGATGAGCCTATAAAAGATGAAAACATAAAAGTTAGAACGTTCTCGTTCGATGTAACCAAAGCTGACCTTATATTTGATAAATTATATAAGGATAAGCAGATAAAGTTGAGCGATAAGCATAAATTGCCAAACCCTGAACAAATTAAGGGTAAAAAATATTGCAAGTGGCATAATGCATGGCCACATTTGACTAACAATTGTTTGGTTTTTCGCAATGTGTTACAGGATGCCATTGAATCAGGACGAATTACGTTCGATGATAAGAAGAAGATGGCGGTGGATGAAAATCCTTTTCCACAGCCACTTGGAGTGAATATGGTGACGTTTGGTTTTAAAAATAAGTTGCCAAAATTCAAATTGGTTATAGATGATGGAGAAGAAGACCTTAGACCACATCCCAGTGTCTTTGAGCATATTAAAGGAAAGGAGCCAAAGAAGGATGAAGATATCTTGTGTACAAGATGTAAAAAATAAGTGAGTGGGAATACGGAGAAACCAGGGACATGGCAGCATCCCCATCGCCCTACTCTCCTCCCAAACGCTCAACCTGGTAGAGGGCGAGGTACATCGTTCTACAAGAGACCTCCTTTTGAGGGGCAGTTCAAGCCAGTAGATAATAGGAGAACATTCAGGCTACAACCTCGCCAGCCAAATGTATGGCATTCGTTCCAGTATAATGTAGGAAGGGCAATGCCCTTCGACGAGATGACTAGAACCCAACAAAGGTGTTTCCAACGAAACTATGGACGAATGATGAGGCAGCAACAGGGAGTGTCATATCCTAAAGCGCCTAAACTACTCAAGGTAGCCAATCAAAATATTCTCAAAGATAGTGAAGAGACAGGTACAGATGAATCAATGAAAGAGCTGCCAGAAACTTCTTCTGGGAGATTGAAGTTTGAGTGAGACAGAAAGGATGAAGAAGATCCAGATCAGCTCCTTACTATTCAGTTCGGTACGTTACCTCCTGTTGTGGCTAATAATTATTTACTGGCCAATGAGTTCAATAATAAAGAGAAAGAAGAAGAAGAAGAAATAGAGGGTAACGAAGGAGAAGCATGCGTGCTGGAATATGAAGAAGGCCAGACTTCTAGAAAGGCCTACAATGGTGAGGAAGGCGATGGTATGACAGACATTGAAGAAGAAATCAATCTGGAAGCAGAAAGGAAAAGAAGAGAAGTATCGCACAATACTAGTTGAAGCAACTACATCGAGAGGGAGTTGGTGAAGTAGACTTACTGGGAGAACCATCTGGGCGTCCTTTTGATTTTTACATGTTGTACGGGACGCCCGAAAAGAAGAAGAGAGTGCCTCGTTCTGAAAAGTATGGATCGCCTCCAAGAATAATGCCTCATCCCACAGGTTGGGTAACTGAAGAGGAAGCATCAAAAAATAGTAAAAGGGGAATTCAGGAGACAGAGGCTCAGTGCGATATGCTGCATATTGACTTATCACAAAAGGATAACTCAACAGAGGACAAGCAGAAAGTAGAAATAGAGGCTGCCGAAAAGGTTATTTTTAAACGGTCAGCCATGAAGTTGACTAAACACTTGAGGCCATTGTACGTTAAAGCTCTAGTTAACGGCATCCCTGTGGCAAAAGTGCTTGTCGACAATGGAGCAGCTATAAACACTATTCTATCTAGGATGATGAGAAAATTTGCAAAGACAGAGGGTGATATGATTCCAACAGAAGTCATCCTTACGAGTTTCAATGAAGGAGCAACTTCAGCTAAGGGAATTATGCCATTAGACATAACTATAGGGACAACTACTAGGACCACAGTCTTCTTTGTAATAGATGGTCCTACTAGTTACAATATGTTACTAGGAAGAGATTGGATACACGGAAGTCGCTGCATACCCTCATCACTCCATCAATGCCTGGTCTTTTGGAACAATAA